CGATAAAAATACACACTGGTTTGTTGGAGATTACAACATATTCATCTAGCATATTCCTCAATCAGCTGAAGGACAGGCCCAAGTGGCTGAAAATAATAACGTGGCCACTCAGATAATAGGCTTTGATAGGATAGGAGGTGTGAATAGTGCACAGTACAAAACTAAACCATTGCTCTAAGCATGGCCAGCAGTGATCAGAAACAGCATCCGTCCAAATAATCAGTGTCACAAAGCACTGAATTGCCTTGCAGATGCCTTGAAACAATTTTAGCATTCTTTTGCCAAATTGCCCGAGAATCTAATGCATTCCAATTACTATCCTCAAGAACTGGTTAATCATTGTTGTTATTATTTTGTAATTTGTTATTATTCTGGGTACTACCTGTGCTGTCTCAAAAGGAATCAAATGAACAATTCAAATGTTCCCAATGGTAACAGTTATTACTGTAGCATCTTTAGTTCTTACCAAGAATGGACAAAGCGCTCAGATTTTTCTCATGTTTAGAAAGTTATAATAGAAGTCAAGCTTGTGGCTAGAGAAGTTCATGTTTGAATATTAGCAATACATGTTCAAATCATAAATACAGAGCTTTTCTTGATTGCAATGCAAAGACACAAGCAGTTGCCAAAGCTCCACAGTCTCAAGTAGTGTAACAATCATGAGATAGCACGTAGTGTGCATCTATGTTGTGATTAGGGGATGGTTGGAAGCTAAGGGTCAATTGACTAAATTCAAAACAGTATCTCTACACACTTGAAAGATCCTTAACCTTAGCTCTCATCGACTTGCACAAGGTCTCTGCACTACAATACACCTTGTATTCTTGGGAGAAAAGTGGACTTTGTTTAGATTTATTCAGAGTATGTGGGTGTTGCTGGCACGTCAGCATTTATTGCCCACCCCTCAATGCCCTGGAGAAAGTGATGGTGAGCCACCTTCTTAAACCGTTGCAGTCCATTTGGTCTAAGTATACAATGATACTGTTGGGGACAGAGTATGAGTGTTCTATAGTGAAGGAGTGACAATATAATTCCAAGTCAGGGTGATGAGTAGATACCACATCAAACAGAAGTGGCTGAAACAAACTTATAAGTAATTTGATTGTGCGTTTTAAAGCAGCAAATACTCATGTGGCAAAAGGAAATCTGTTATTGCCTGGTGTGATACTGATTCTCCACAGAAAGCTGGGACTCTGACAAGAAATCAGAAACCCAAAATGCTGAGCTAACCTTTCTTTTCTCAGTAAACGTCACTTGATCTGTAGAACTATTCCAGCATTATCATCAAAGTTCAAAATTAGGTGATTGGGAAAAATATTAATTAATAATTTCCCCTTCATGAATGGGAAATTGTTCTCTCTTCTCATGAAAGTTGCAGCAAGAATCTAAATAAAGATCGCATCAATAAATGTTATAACATGGGCAGCAGGTTTTATGGGGTTTTAAAGCATGTCATCTGCTATTGAACAAAATGCATGTTGATAAAAATAGATAAATTAGTAGCAATCATAGCTGATTCCATTGTGAATTTATGTGCAAACGAGCAATAACATATTAAGAACAGAATTACCTGTATCTCCTATTTTCCAAATTCAAAGTGCCCTTCTACTTGGAAACAAATTTGAATTGAACAACTTGAATGGACATAAATTGTCAGCTTTGATGCATGCCAGGAGATGCCCTATTTGAGCAAGATCCAGCCCAATTATTCCATGCAATCTGCTAGCAAAAGGCATGAGATTGTGATGATATAGGTTTCTTCCTTGTCCTCATGAATAACGATTTACTAATTGCTCAGTAGGAGGCTGCCTAGTTTCATATATCCTGGTTGTTCTTCATTGATAGTACTTGCACAGCTTTTCCTGTTTTTGACTGGCACACGCCCTATCCTGTTCAACTGTAAGGTCAAGTGTAACATGTTTTCATGGGTACAGCTGAGAACCAAAATATATCTGTTTGAAATGAAAACTGAATTTTGGCACTTACTGCAATATTTTTTACGCTGTTTATACCGTTTGAAAAATAACTAAAAAACCTCAGGCCAGGAGATACTGTCACGACGCAAGTAGTGCACACATAGAAAAGTGACCCACAAGACCTACTTGGTTTACCAGACTATATCCAGGTGTTGTTCAAACTTCGACCAGATGACGCTTGAACAAAGACAGATGCTTGGAAGGTTATGGCCAAAAACATCAGAAAAAAAAAATGCAACTTTAAATCTGTTGAACAGCTGGGAGAAAGTGTTGGGGAAGAGAAAATGTTCCAATGGATTTTGAAATTTAAGCAAGACTAAGCTCAAGAAATATCAAACTTTTTCATGAAATGAGATGCTTTGGTTTAGATTTTGACCATTTTAGTCGGAAGGAAGAAAAATCAAAGTGTGCACCGCATTCCAAAACAAAGCAGCTGTCATGGGGACCCATCTTTCGAATGAAAAGAATAAAGCGATGTAAAGTTTAATTACTCCTGAATCTTTCACTAATTCTGCATTAATTACAACAACATGCATCAAATTCTTCCATGCAGAAGATAAAAAAAAGTTCAAATTACAGAGGTTGTGACATAATGCAAGTTACATCTATGTAGGCAGCTGCTGGGACTTGGGTACTGACTACTTTAAAGTAGGGATCAAGGTTAAGATCACCTCATTTAAGTATACCCACACCATGGAGAGAGACTCCAACAAAAACTTGAATAATCGAGTTGCAAGCAGAATTCCAACCTTTCGTTGCCCAGTGGTCCCTCTATCTGTTCGTCAGCAAGTTGACACACCAGCCAACCTCTGCCACATTTCCCTTGGTGCTCTAGGTTGGTGATGTCTGCCAGGCTCAAGATAGGAAAGCTACCACTTCTGTACCCTCTCTAGTTCCGATAGCAGAACTAGAGTACAGACAAGGAAGATTTGGGCTGATAGACTTACAGCAGGAACATAACAAAGTGATGGTTAATTAATGAGACATTACAATATTTAGGTACCTCTCCTATCAAGTGCAGAGGGACAGATCTTTCCTCACTGTAAGAAAGCTCAGACTTGAAAGAAAGACTGTTTGGAAAAGTGAACACTTCGCCCACCTATCCCCCTCATACTGAAGTGCTCCAGGCTCACAGGTGGCACATGCCAGATTCAATGTCAGAAGAAACTTTGCTGGGCATTACAACGAAGCACTCAAACAACTCAGTATCAGTCAAAGGTGAATACCTGTACAAAAATGACTGTAGCTATTTACAAATATATTAATTATTCAGGTAAGGGAACCAAATGAAATATCTCCAAGTTTGCAGAAGACACAAAGTTGGGTGGGAGGATGAGCTGTGAGGAGAATGCAGAGATGCTTCAGTGAGATTTGGACATGGTGAGCAACTGGGTAAATGCATGGCACATGAAGTATAATATAGATAAATGCAAAGTTATCCACTTTGGTAACAGAAACAGGAAAGCAGGTTATCCGATTGGCAATAGATTGGGAAAGGAGTGCCCTTGTCCATCAGTTCCTGAAAGTCAGCATGCAGATGCAGCAAGCACTGAAGGCTATATATGTTGGCCTGCATAGCAAAAGGATTTGCATACAGAAGCAGGGATATCTTCCTGCAACTGTACAGGGCGTTGGTCAGACCACACCTCAAGAATGGTGTGTAGTTCTGGTCTCCTTAACTGAGGAATGATGGCTCTGGAGGGAATTTAACAAAGGTTTGCCAGACTGATGTCTGGGATGGCAGGACTGATGTTTGAACACAGACTGGATCAGTTAGGACTCGGTTCACTGAAGATTAGAAAAACGAAGAGGGGTACCTTGTAGAAACATACAAAATACTACTAGGACTGGACAGGGTAACTGCGGGAAAGACATTGCTGATGACCGGGGAGCCCAGAATCAGGGATCACTATCCAACAATGTAGGGTAGGCCATTTAGGACTAAGATGAGGAGAAATTTCTTCAACTAGAGAGTGGAGAGCCTATGAAATTCTCTGCTGTAGAAAGTGGTTGAGGTCAAAACACAAGATTTTCAAGGAGTTAGATATGGTGCTTAGGGCTAAAAGGGATCAAAGGGTATGGAGAGAAATTGGGAACAGGGTAATGAATTGGATGACCAGCCATGATAATAGTGAATGATGGAACAGGCTCGAAGGGCTAAATGGCCTACTCCTACTTGTATTTTCTCTGATTCTATAATGCACAGTAGCTTCCCAAGCATTTACACAAAATCAATAGCACCATTTTGTAGATGCCAGACACCAGTCTATTCATGCTACTTGAGCTTTGCCCAGCTATCGTAACATCCCAGACAACTACAAAACCATACGGAAAATGCCCAGACTGTCAGCTATCCAGGCACATTAGAAAACATAAAGGCTAATTATTTTAACATTAAGGGAGAAACAATGTTGTGTATCAATTTTAGGATGGAACTAACTGATCAGGGAATAGAGTCTATATGCTCAGAGTTCTTTTGTTGTGGCCTCAACACATATACATGGGAAAATAGCTGGGTTTGTCACCAGTACACAAAACAGCCACCCACATGACATTTATTTTACCTAATCTCCACCTGAGCTAATCCAAATCACTATGAAGCAGAATGCAATTTTGATTATATCTCCTTGATATTCAACGGAATTACTATTGCTGTAAGACATCATCAAAGGTGGGGAACTCTGCTGTGAGTAACTCACTCCTAACTCCCCAAAGACTGTACACTTTGAAATGCCTCACCATTCCTCATGGTTGTTGGGTCAAAGTCCTGAACTGCCCAACCTACACTGAGTGGATTGCAGCAGTTTAAGGAGTTGGCAGCACCTACTCATGGACGATAATTGGGGAGCATGCACCATCAAAGAAAGAAGTTCAACAAGACTGTCCTAATCGGCCTAGTGATCATAATGATCCTGATTAGACAAATATAAGTAAATATACAGAACCATTTAAAATGTGGCTATGTCACAATATCTACACGATCAACAGAAATATGAGTATTCAGTAATACAAAATTCAACACACCTGTTTTACACTATTAACTGGCCTTGCTGTGGAGTCCTGGTGAACATTCGGTCTTGAACCTCGGAGTACACTGATGAAATCTTTCTTCGAGACGGAGGATAGTAACTTGGCACGCTTTTGTTCAGACCCACCTACTTCTTTAATTTTTTTATCCACACTAACTTGATGCTTTTGAACAGCATTGAATAATTGCACAACACCTCTGTGTATCAAACATATGTTAGTTAGGTTAGTCATTCCAGTCTACTCAGATTACATACACATGTACAAATTAGGAGCAGGAGACCTCTATTCAGGGGAACCTGCACTGCCCCTTCAACAAGAACATGGCCGATCAAATTGTAATATAGTTCAGTTATCAGCACTCTTGCTTCTGAGTTTAAGTACCCTTCCAGGGCTTGAGCACAAACCAATAAGTCAATCAAGGTTGGCATGACAGTGCTATACTGCTGAAGATGACAAATTTCAAGTGAGACATTAAGCTTGCTTGGGTGGATGCAAAGGACCCCAAGGCATGGAATCAAACATTAGCAGGGAAGTTTCTCCCAGTGCACTGAGCAATGTTTATCTCAAACATCATAAAATCAAATTATTTGGTCATCGATCAACTACTGTTTGAGAGTTTGCTGTGTGAAAATTGCCTGCTATGTTTCCTCCATTATAATTGTGATTCATTGCTGTAAGGTATTTTGCAATGCCTGGTGTCCATGAAAAATGTGGACTTTACCAGTTTCAAAATCTCCCCAACCCCCGGCCTCATCCCACGACCAACCCTCCCTCTCATCCCAGCCTCCTTGACCTGACACAACCTGTCTTCTCTCCCACCTATCCACCTCACTGACCAATCCCCACCACTGCCTACCTGCACTCGCTTGTCACCATCCCACCTACCTTCCCCAGCCCTACCCCTCCTCTCTCTAATTTTAGAGCTCCCTTCCCCCTCCCCCATTTCTGAGGAAGGGTCCTGACCCGAAACGTCAACTTTCCTGCTCCTCTGATGTTGCCCGGTCTGCTGTGTTCCTCCAGCTCCACACTGTGTTATATAAATGCAAGTCTTTTTGTTTCCCTCACAATTACAGTGGAGATCAAAATATTAGTTCTCCATCGGCTCCAACCTAGCCAAAACGTCTGCCACAAATTGTCAGTTTTTATTTACGTGACCTACTTTCAATAGACATCTATAGGTTTGCTCAAGTACCTTTCACTTTCTTCAGTTACTTTCAATGCACATGAACAAAAATTGCAAAAACAAACAAAAATCATTTTTATGAAGTGATTTTGCTTTTGAATACAATAGCACATAGGCCAGAATGAATGGTTCTTTGGACCACATCTCTTTGAACATTGCAGCATATTGAGTGCCACGCAATATCAAAGGCCAATAAAATTTCAAAAGGTTGTTTGTTTGACTTATTAGGTCTACGTGCTCAAAACACGATGGAATGTAGACAACAGAAACATCAAAAACTGTCTTTGCAAAAACTATTAAGGGAAATGTGTAAATTATTTTACCAATGGATTTGTTGATAAATGCAACTAATTACCAAATGCCAAAAACAGAAATTGCTGGAAAAACTCAGATCTGGCAACATCTGTAGAGAGAAAGCAGAATTAAAGTTTTGGGTCCAAGGTCCCCTTTGTCCTTACTTACCACCCCACCAACATCTACACCCAAAGCCACGATTTCTGCCACCTCTAGTGGGATGCCAGACACATATTCTCCTCCCCTGTCAACATTCTGCAGCAATCACTCTGTTCGGGACACCCTGGTTCACTCCCAATGGTACATTATGACGCAACTGCAGAAGGTGTAATACCTGCCTGTTTACTTCTTCCCTGTTCACTATTAGAGGCCCAGACACACTTCCCAGGTCAAGCAGTGACTTCCCTGCACTTCACGCAACCTAGTCTGTTGTATTCTCTGCTCACAAGGTCTGCTCTGCACTGGGGAGACAAAACATAGACTAGGCAAACACTTTGTAGAACTCCTACATTCTGTCTGCAAAAGTGACCCTGAATTTCCTGTTGCTTGCCACTTCAACAGACCATATGTTCCCTGGCCAACATTTCTATCTCAGGCTTGCTGCAGTACTCCATTGAAGCTGAGCACAAGCTGGAACAATAACACCTCATTTTTTGCTCAGATAGCCTGTAACCTTCAGGACTCAATACTGAGTTCAATAATTTTCTGGCCTGAGAACCTTCTCCCACGTCCTTCCCCCAAACCCACATATAGACCTTGTCATCACATGGACTGCTACCACACACAACCCACCGTCAGCCACTAAAGGTCCCCGTTAGCAGCTATTCATTCTCCCAGGCTGAGTTTTACCCATTAGTTTGCCTGCCAGCTTTTTTACAGTCTCTGGGCTCAATCTCCACCTATCATTTACTCCTTCCCCAACTCCCACACATTCGCTAGCATATATACCAACATTTTCCTAGCTAAAATCAGTTCTCAAAACATTAACTCCACTTTCTCTCTACAGATGCAGCCAGACAAGCTAAATTTTATTTCTGATTTCCAGCTTCTGTAGATCTTTGGTTTGTTTTATTATTACTAAATGATTCATTATCAAGTCAATAATGCTTCTACTTTAAGCCCAGAGGACAGCAGTTATAAATATGTTGGAATTGAGATTCCTAAACAGAGGAATAGGTTATTCATGAGATTAGCACAATGCCCTTCAATCTGCCAATCATAATTCAAACCATGACCAACTGGGAAGGCCATTTTGTTTCCTGTCAAATTTCCAAACAAACCAAGCTGGTACTCAATATTCAAGTGATCAACACCGGACATCGGTTTTATTTTAACTTGTGCAATAGGTATCTGACACGTAAGGAAAGCTATCTGAAGAGCTGGGGAGGTGAAGTATAAGAGATGTTATATGACTCTTAAAACATTAAATCTGCTGGTGTTTCCTTCAGTTAGTTGGTAGATAAAATCGGACAAATCCATACCTAGTACCAAACCCCATAATCTAAATTAAATCAATCAAGATATGGCCATTTTAAAGGGAGGTAACACAGCAAGATAACCCACATCTTACTGATTTTGCAACTTCAGAATTTACATAATCCAAAGGAAACTTTTTTGCAGGTTAAGTTACTGCAAATTAGAAATGAGGAATGGTTTATACATACAGACAATGATATACATGGAATCCCGATAATTATTGCTCATTTTGATTTGGCAATTAAATAGAGAAAGAAGTCACTTCAGTTTACCCTTATACACCACCTAGTGGGAAGATCAAGAAATGCAAAAGCTGAGATTTAAAAAAAAATCACAGCCTTGATTTTCACATTGTAGCACATTTTCAGGAGGATGGGGTGTTTAACAGCCACAAATGCAATTTCTTCCCTGTCAACGGGGTTTTTATCATGTTTTGGTGGACTTGTGACAGGACTTCGAGCTGGATGAAAATCGAAACAAAGCTATTCACTGCTACTTTCAAGAACTGCTAACAGGCATGCTGTACAGATCTTGGGAAGCCTCTTCTACCAACCCTTAAGTTAGATGCCAAGTCTTTCAGTGGACCCTTTCTAAATGGAAGCAGCAGCAGTACACGCAATACAGATCATATCCCAATTTGTTTATTATGGATTTATCCAAGTATGGGTGGTTGGTGCAGTTTCTGACAAGGTCCATCCTCTGAGGGTGAAGAATAGGCATAAATCAATCACCTTGCACTTTTCCAACCCAATTTCTTCAAGATAGGCTGAAAAATGGAAGGATTTAGAAAGTGGGGGTCAATGAGTCTTTCCTCAACTTCGGGGTGAAGGAGATGCAAAAAGGGGTCAAATTTTTGGTGGATGGAATTAAAATTGCTGAAATCAAGCTGGCTTTTCCTCATTAAAACAAAAGCCATGTTATATTAAAAGCAAACAGAGAAAGTCTCTATTTCATTTCAAAGATGTAATAAAAATAATTTCAGTGACTTGAAACAAGGATGTATTTAGTATATTGTTTACATTATGCATTTGCAAGTAAATTTACTTTTCAAAGGGTGGCCTCGCAGTTTCAGCTATCAGAAATTCTTCTGCAGAGAGCTGTACAAAACTTACCTGGTGGCTATTTTTTGGAAAGCCCTTTCAGTCTCTCGGTCTTCAGCTACATTAGGTTTCACTCTGCACATCTGTTCCCATTCTTTTTTTTTATCTTGCTGCCAAAGAAAGCATAGTTAAGAACATGCTGAATAATGTCATAACTTCATAGAAATCAAAGGTTTCTAATGAATAAATTACTGTATTAAATATCCAAACATTTGTTGGGAACTGGTGAAACCACAGCTTCAGCAAAATCTAAAACCTCAACAAAACAGTTACTAGCATTAGCAATACTTCTGTAAACACCCTTTACAACAGATGCCAGCAAAGCAATCTTTTCTTAAAATTAAATTGTGTGCTCAGTGATAGACATATGCCTGAAATGAAATACTTTCCCCATTCAACATACCAGTCTCAAGCAATTCTGCATCACATGTAGCACAGGCTGGATGCAAAGTAAATTCCAACAATGTGCTTTTATGTACCAGTTTAAGATCCTCTTTTCTTACACCAGTTTCTGCCAGATTATCAATTAAATTGAATTGAAAGCAGTTGTATGTGGTGGGTCTACATCCACGAGGAATGGTCATGGAGCCAGGCAAATTCATTTCACGTGGAACTTCTGCATTCAGGGAACAGAAAACTTGCCTCCCATCAATTTCCAACACAGAGTTTAAGAATAATATGCTAACCCACTGCATTCAGTGCCCCTCAGAATCCAAAACATACCATGCTAATCGGAATTTGAAAAATATTAGAAACGTATGTAACTTTAACAGAATTAACTACAAAACATGATAAATGCTGGAGGTCTGGCACAGGGTTACTGGCAGTATTCCAAGCTTGGGGGTTTGTTGACAAACTCTTCAAGCTTCAGTTTTGTGGCTTACAATGTGATTGAGGGGTTCAAATGGCATTGCTGCCTTTGGATCCATTGCCAACAACCCTTAAGTAATCCTCTTTGTTGAAATAAATGGCCAAGGCAAACATTTGTAATTCCACATTGGTCAACAGTAAACAGAGTGCTCGCCAAGTGTAATTTTAACACACATTACCCTATACACACCACATTACCCCGACAATCCGTTTTTATTCATATCACAACAAAAAGGCACTTCATTTGAAAAAAAGAGCAATGGTTAACTTGCACGTGACTTGGAGTTAGTGGTTCAAACTGATTCACAACTTAATATACAACTTATCACTTCGCACTCTCATTGTTTCTATTCAGTCACAGGCTAAGGGTTAAAACCAGGGAAAATGGGATGCGTCTGAGAGCAGTAATAGCTTTGGAGTCTACTATTTGGAGTGTGGAAAACCTGGAATGCAGTAATATTTGTTTGGGAAGCCCTGTGAAACATGCTTAGGTGTTAGAACAACCTGAAAGTGTTGTAACAAATATTGCCAAGGCTGGTTGTGCAGAAAAGCAAATTAAACCACCTGGTTATGAAAGTCAACTATGACTTCTTTCCACAATATTTTCACCACTCATTCAAGTGCAAAAATTCTTCAGAAAAACTCTTTTTTTTAAATTTGGTCAATTCCATATATCTTCTCTTCAACACTTGAGTCCCTCTCTTCAGAAACAACAGTGAGTCATACAAAGAAAACCCTATTTCTAGTGTCAGTTTCAATCAGCTTCCCTAAAAACTTGCTACACAACTCTGTTGCCTTCAGGATTTGAAAGAAGAACAATTTGTTTTCCCTTTTGGTAGTTATCAGTTGCCAGTTAACATACTCCATTTGCCACCGTCATTAAGATTAGAATCTGAAAAACATTTCAATTCTTACTTATTCATAAACTGTACCTACGGTGGTGCCCAAAGTGGCAACTTGTAAACTTTTCACTGTACTCATTTGAGTATATGTGTCAATAAAGCTAATTCAATTCAATTCAAACAGTCAATGGGTAGATTTCCTTCACAGTCAAGGATACAAGTAGAAACACGGCACTAACAACCTGAGGATGACTCCGCATTAAAATACAGTTTGCAAATTCCTTGCTATGACCCCGGACAAAATGGAGTTTGCTGCTGTCCAGTCACATTATTCCCACATGGAATCCAGCTTATGCAGACATTTCATAATTTCTGCCCTGTGCATAAATAAAAGTCTTCAGAGAGAATTGCAATTACTACCTGTTTCATCCTTTCTAACATTGCCTCCTTACGTTTCTCTTTTTCTTTCAGTTTCTCTTTATTTTTTGCAAGAATGATTGGTTTGTTCTCAGGAACCTTCTTATTAAGAATTCTGGCCATGGCATCTGCCCAGCCAGCATTGGGATTTGCTGAACTCAAGTCTGCAGTTTCCTCTCCAAGTTCAGTTTGTGAATCATGGCTTTTCTCATCTTGTGAGGAGAAATGGTCACTTTCAAGATCTCCATCAGAACCTAGAAAAGAACAGATGGATATATTGTTATGAATGCACGTCAAGCATGAATTTCATTGATACAATACTGACATCTAGTGTCGATAAAAGGTTCTGCAATCTCCAAGCCACAGCTTACCAAATTTAACATTCAGGTTTAGCAATATTAAAGAAATCTGCATCCTATTGTGCCATTAGATTCTTTTTACTCAAACTTGATTTAAAATCTGAATTTCTGTTTCAGTGGCCAATACTGATTCATTGCCTGTAACAGTAATTCAAAATTCAGTTTTGCAAACAAGCTTTAAAGCATTAAGAATATTCAGCAGTCACTGCAACGACATACTATTACGACTTATTTGGATCTTTACATGTATAATTCAGAGGCACTTTGATACGTGAATGGACTTCAGAACAACTGAATTTATTTGTGGACAAACTTAATAGATTGGCCAAGTAAACCAACAAAACAAATATGCCATTAGAATGCAGCACTGAATATTAGCAGATGGACATTCTTTGCCAGAGCACCAAGATACCTTTTCTTATAAAATTCATGTTCTAAGCTGTTCCAGTGCCACAAACTCAAAAGCCTACAAAAATGTGCCACCTTGAAAACAGACACGACCAACAGAACACAAAATATCATGAAAGAGACAAAGACAAAGCTTCTCACCTTGCACTCATCAGGACTGAAATCTAGAAACACAACTTAGTAAAGAATGAACAATTTCTGTAACTTGAGAAAAGGGTACAGATTGGCTGGACTATGGTTGGCTTGGAGATGCAACAGAAACTGTCAAGTGTCTCATTTAACTGATTACATTTAAAATAAGGAAAGTTGCCTTGGAGTTGTCATGGAGATGCCAAAACACAATTTAAGAAAGCTAAACAATCAAGTTAAACAATAAAACTTACATCGGAGTCCAATATGCCCTCCAATAGCTGCAATAACTATTGGCTGCAGTATGTACTGCATGCTTTTCTTTGCGCTATTTGGGTTAAACAAGGCTGTGGGGAAAATGACAGATATCCAAGGACAATCACTCCCAGGGACCAAATCCAACATCAACCTCTGGATGGGCACCTTTGCCAGGCCAAGGAGCACAATGACAATTGGTAAAATGCAGATGTGCTCTTAGTGCACGCACAGCAAATTATAACATAGTTTGGAGTTAAGACAAGTGAGGAACAAAGACAATTTGGCTCAATATTTTAAGTTGTGCCTAACTCATAGCAAACAGCTACAGGCATGGGAGTAAACCACAGTTGGGCTCTCTGACATATTCCGAGATAAATCAAGCAATATGCTCTTGAAAAGATAGCAACAAATTTCAACATTTAAATGAAACATATGGAACAATTAGACAGTAGCTGCCAGAATTCTGTCACTTAACATCAATTAACCTTACTTACGAGACACAACAGCCTTAAAATTAGTTTGTGCTGACAAACTGGAATGACCTGGGCACAGTGAATGATCTACAGGATAGAACAAGTTATCATGGGGTACACTTGATATTGGGCCTTCTTTGAAAAATGGAAGACTGGTGAACTGCAGATTGTTGTTGGGAATTCCTAGGTGACTTGCCAGCAAAGAGGATTTTAATTTTTGGACCACAGGCAGCAGTCCTCAGGTGGCTCCCAGGAGATGAGGAGAAAACAATCGCAGTCCAACAACTGTTTTCAGCACTGCAACAGACACAGCAGAAATATTCATGAAATTCCCAAGTCCCTAACCAAGTCATTCATCTCTTAGTTGCATTTCCAAAAATTCCAACCCCTGTTTAGGTGCAGGCCCTTGACAGTTTTCTCTGTATTCATCAGCATCATGGCTTACATGCCTTACTGAAGGCTATTTTTCAACACCACCACAGGGGAAACAGAATAGTAAAACTGATGTTTTTGTTGCAGCAGTGATCGTAATAAGCTGTATTTGCAGCACCAAAAACGTCCCGAGCTCCTCACAAACAAGCTCGATGAAAAGTGATGCCAAGCCACAGAGAAAGTTGGAAGATTTGGAGGATTTCAATGGAAGAATGACTTGTTTAGAAAGGAAACTCCAAACAGAACTGATGAGATAGGTGATCACCACTGGGGATGAGGTGAAAGAGAGGGGAAGGTCAGAAGATTACATGATAACAGATTATTCTGACGGAAATATAAAATAATAGTGTATATACAGTAGGGTAAATCATGGTAGGAATTGTGGACAAGGTCAAGAATTGACGACTTGCCTGGAAAATGCAGCTCCAACAATACCCAAAAAGTTTGATACCATCCATAACAAAGCAGCCGCTTGATTGGCACCATGTTAACAAGTATCCACTCCCTCCACCAATGTTTTGTAGCAGCAGTGTGTACCATCTCTAAGACATGCTGCAGAAATTCACCAAAATACCTGAGACAATACCTTCCAAACACATGACCACTTCCACCTAGAAGGTCAAGGGCAGCAGACACATGGGAACACCATAACCTGCAGGATCCCCTCCAAGCCACTTACCATCCTGACTTGGGAATATATCACAGCTTCCTCAGTGTTTTTGGGTCAAAATCCTGGATTTTGCTCCCTAACTGCATTGTGGGTCCACCTAAAGCACATGGACTGAAGCAGTTCAAGACAACAGTTCATCACCACCTTCTCAAGAGCAACTAGGGAAGGGCAATAAATGCTGGCCAGCCAGTGACACCCATGTCCCACTAAAGAACCAATAAAAAGTGCTGAATTCATTACAAAGGAAAAGGAGAAAGCGTAAGATCAGGGAACAATAGTTACGGGTGAGTCGAATACAAGCATAGCTTTGGAGAAAAGAGCAGGGGTCAAAAGTATTTATGATTATCTCAGACATGGTGAGTGCAATGCTACAGAGGCAAAACTAAGCCACTGGATAGATTATTGAACTTGATATTAGCTCAGAACAAAACAACACCAAAATGATGACACTTGATGACTGCCCAAGGAAAAGGTGATAAAGGAGGGAAGTCTGCAGTCAGGATCTGAGAAAATAACTTCAACATTCTCAAGGCAGACCTTCAGGAAGTTCAGACTAGTCTGGGATTCAATGAGAGACATAAGGTGGGAATGACAGAATTGAGAAGTGATGAAAAAGTACAGAAGCATATGTGCCACTTATGATTACTGACTACATTCAGCTATTACAAATGGTATAAGCATGGAGCTGGATGACAAGCAACTCGAACAAAATGAACATCAACATGGCATCAACAGCTGAAGTACAGTTAACACAAGCCAAAGGTTTCCATCATATAAATTTCTTCCATTTATCCCCATTTTGCTGCAATTACAAATGTACTTGCAAAAGTGAACTGCTTAAAGCAGTAACTGCACACTAAAAGAAACTGGCTCTTGAACATCTTTCTCTGAACAAATAATTCATATCATCAAGGATAGACAATCTAGAGCATTTTAATCTTCATAGCAGTAGTGTTAGTCAGTAATATGCTGAATTTGTTTCTGATGAATTCACAATTCAACATAAACCAGCAAGATGTAATGGTGTAATGGAATAGAAGCCCTCACAACTTTTCAAGTACAGGTTTTAGAACAGTTTTGTGTGCAGCTTAATAAGGATTACAAAATATTTACACAAGGTAAGTAGTACACACTAAACTACCATCTTAAAAATGCAATACTGCAAAAATGGATTTTAGAATCAAGTAAGCTCGAGCTAGCCAAAGCCGCCAATTAAATTGCAAAAAGAAGTGCTGATGAAAGCAAACGAGATCACTCTCCATCAGGCCAATATTCAGGTAAACGAGTTCTGCACTATCCTAATTTTGATATTAAACAGTTTAACTTAGAGGTCGTTAACACTTTGTCAATGAAGGTGAAACTGATCATATCATGTGCGCTGGATAGTGATGGCCAGCAGCACACAACCAGTAAACAAAAAAAAAAATCACAAGTGGCTACAAAACCAGAGGTGCCAGTGACAATATGGTACGTGCCTTATTTCTGATAAACTGAGAAGGATGCCTAAAAGTATCAAGTAGATGACGGAGGAGAAGAGTTATCAGTGATTATAAAAGTTAAAGGTGGATGGAGAAGATGGGGGGCAGGGAGGGAATCTTTCAGACAAACAGAAAGTCGAAAGAGACAGAGTAACGACGTGGGAAGGGGAAAAAGGGAAGTTTCTGGACAAGTCATTCGAATAATCTCAAGCAGTAAATATTAGTTTGAACGGTAAATAAAAGCGGTCTGAAGTTTCAAGTAAATACTGTAAACCGGACCCAATGAGCTTCAGGCTGAACTGTTCCCTTAAAACACATTTCTCTTCCCGCAGCCGCTCCTACTGGCTCTTTCTCCCTAAACATGAAGAAGATCCGGAGACTCCAGCATTTTGCTGGGGCCTGGCTCATGTCTATTTACCGCTCAATTCCGTTCCCAATTCACCGCCGCCTCCACGTGAAACGGCCGCCATGTTAACCGGAAACAGCAACACCGTGTGCAACCAACACAACCTTCCCCCTCCCCCACGCGAAGAGGCTGGAACAAACGGTCCGCCTCAATCCTGCTCCTGCTGTAAGATTCAGAGAGAACCTTCACAAGTGACTTTCCTCTTCACTTTGGTCCCAATCACTTTCAAATTAGTTAGGTCAAGCACATTAAGGTGACTGTCTTCGCGTTTGCGAACTGATAAAAGTTTTTTCTTATATAAACTATTAGATGCTTGTGCATTTCTTTCCCTGAGTTCTATTTGTGTATACAATCCCATCAGGGAACTGGCTCAGTTCACATCAGGCAATAATGAAGCAATAAATTCGCTCTACCTTGACAGAATCCTCTTGGTGGTAGTGAACATACAGACCTGGGTTAATGTCCAATTCATATCCAGTTATGTCATTTAAAGAACAAATAAGTTTCTTCTTCAGTACTCCTTAAAATCTTAAGATGGCTATTAACTTGAGAAATGGTCCCAGCGGATTTCTGCTCAGGGCCTGGCCAAAGAGGCCAATAACAGGACCAAGTGATGGGTTGCTCCTGCATTACTTCCATGTGATATATGGTTGACCTTTCAGAAGGAACATGTAGTAGCCGCCAGTACATTTCAGGCCTCCTGCAACTGGTGGGAACCACAGAGGCTTGGGTGCATTATCAATCCCCACCCCAGTGATATTTTGAGTTTTGATACAGTGCCCCTTTGGAACTGTAAATTCTAACTTGGTTCAGTGGTGATAGGTTTTTATAATCATGGAATCCCTACAGTGTGGGGATCGGCCATTTGGCCCGACAAGGTCACATTAACTCTCCAAAGAGCATCCCATCCAGATTCAACACCCGACCCTATCTCTGTGTTTCCCATGGCTAATCTACCTAACCTACACATCCCTGGACACTATGGCCAATTTAGCATAGCCAATCCACCTAACCTGTACACCTTTGGAATGTGGGAGGAAACCCACACAGACACAGGGAGAATGTACAAACTCCACACAGACAGTTGCCTGAGGCTGGAATTGAATCCATGTCCCCAGCATTGTAAGACAGCAGTGCTAACCACTGAGCCACCATGTGCAGAGCAGAGTAGATAGATTGGAGAAACACCTCATTGGTGTGGCCAAGGTGGCCATTAACAGCATCAAGCTGACTGTCATGAAGCGGGTTTGTTGAATCTGACTGCCTGCTTTTCTTCTCTGGTAACATTTGTGTCTGTGGTCCTTGAAGTGCGAGCTCATGTTGTCCATCAATATACTTCAGGCCTTCTGCAAAATGTGGACATACTTTATCTCCCCACAACAAACAAAGAACAGGCCTTTTGGTCCACCAAGCTTGTGCTGACCCATTACATGTTTTCTAAATTAAAAACCTTTTGCCTCCATGCAATATGTATTTCCCAATTCCCAATTCATATATCAGTCAAGATGCCTCTTAAATGTTGCTATTGTATCTGCTTCTACCACTTCCTCTGGCAGCGCATTCCATGCACTTACCACCCTCTGTGCCTCTCACATCTTTAAACTTTCTCCCTTTTACTTTAAACCTATGTTCTCTCGTAATTTACTTTTCTACCCTAATAAAAAGACTCCGACTATTTATTCTATCCATGCCTCACATAATTTTGTGAATGTCTATCAGGTCGCCCTCAGCCTCTGGTGTTCAAGCTAATATCTTCTAAACTAGCCAACATCCTGGTAAACATTTTCCGTACCCTCTCCAAAGCCTCCACCTCCTTCTGGTAGTGTGGCAGCCAGAACTGTACACAATATTCCAAATGTGGCCTAACTAAAATTTTATAGAGCTGCAGCACGACTTGCCAGTTTTTATATTCTACGCCCAACTGATGAAGGCAAGCATGCCATAAGACTTGTTGACCACCAAATCCACTTGTGTTGCCACTTTCAGGGAACTGTGGATCTGTACACCTCAATCCTTCTGTATGTTAATGTTTCTAATGGTTCTGCAATTTACTGTATACTTCCCTCCTGCACTAGACCTTCCAAAACCTCACATTTGTCCAGATTAAATTTCATCTGCAATTTGTCCACCCAAGTCTGTAGCCTATCTATAGCCTGCTGTGTCCCCTGGCAATCGTCCTCACGATCCGCAGTTCCCTAATCTTTGTGTCATCTACAAAGTTACTAATCAGGCCACCTACCTGCTCCTCCAAATCATTTGTACACATTACAAACAACAGCGATCCCAGCATTGATCCCTGCAGAACACAACTGGTCACAGATCTCCAGTCAGAAAAACATCCTTCTGCATCCACTCTCTGTCTTCCATGACTAAGCCAGTTCTGTATCCGTCTTACCATCTCAGTACAGATCCCATGTCATTTCACCTTCTGCATCAGCCTGCCATGAGGGACCTTGTCAAAGGCCTTGCTAAAGTCCATAGAGACAACATCCCCTAGTCTGTCCTCATCAATCAGCTTTGTGACTTCCACAAAAACCTAAATCAAGTTTGTGAGACACGACCTCCCCTGCACAAAGCCATGCTGCCTGTTGCTAATAAGTCCATCTGGTTAAGATGGCGGCAGAGTAAGCTGCTCCAGCCAGAGCTCCTCTGCTCGTCAGCTCCTTTTCCTCCCTTTTTTTTCTTTTTTTTTAACCTCTTGTTGCAGTTTTTCCTCCCCCCCCCCAAGATTTTAACTTCTTAAAGTACCCTACCTGGAACGGAGAATGGAATTGGAGACCAACTCAGCACAGGAGATGAGTGGCTGCCGGAGGGACCGAGTCTCGGAAGCGAGTCGCGGCCGGAGTCGGAGCAGAGTGAGCTCAGGTGGATTTGGGAGCCAAGTTGCGGCTTGAGTCTGGAGCGGGAGCAGAGCGAGCCCAAGCTGGCTGGGGGAGGGAATAAGCCCTGGACGGAGGCCAGTGTGTGGAGGCAGAGAGGTCTCATGTTCTGAAACCTGGCAGGCAGGTACTCAGTGAGAAAGGATCATAACTTGAGTACTTTGAAGACACTTTTTATTCTCATTCTGGACTTTTAAACTCTGTATTCCCATGCTAGTCTTTTTTTTTCAATTCTGTAACAACACTTAAAGTGTCTGTACCTAGGTACCCTGTACCTAACATGGTGCCGAGAGATGACATTACAAACTTTTCACTGCACTTATGCACACATGACAATAAAGGCTATTCTATTCTATTATATTATATTCTATTCTATTTTTCCAAATGTGAATAAATCCTGTCCCTAAAAATCTTTTTTAATAATTTGTCTACCACTGACCTAAGGCTCATCAGCTTGGAATTTCCGAAATTATTCTTAGACAAAGGAATAACGCTGGCTATTCTACAGTCCTCTGGGAGTTTGTCTATGACTGAAGGGGATAAAAAGATTTCATACAAGGCCCCAGCAATTTCCTCCCTCATCTCCCTCAGCATTCTGGGATTGTTAGGGTCTTATCTACCTTAATGCTTTTTAAAACACCCATCACCTTTTTTCTCATGACATGCCCTACAATATCGATATACCCCACTTTGAAATTACCTTCTCCTATGTGAATTCCAATGCACAGCATTCGTTAAGGACCTCACCCACATCCACCCACCCTCTTTCTAGCTACCGTCTTGTTCCTTATATATTTATAAAGTACCTTGGGATTTTCGTTAATCCTATTTACCAAGATAATATCATTGCCTCTTTTAGCACTCCTAATTCCTTGTTTAAGTTCATTTCTGCTTTCTTTATCTTCCTCCATTTCCTAAACCTTACACATGCTTCCTTTTTCCTACTGACTAAGCTCTCAATTTTGCTTGTCATTCAAGGTTCCTGTCTCTTGCCATTCTTATTCTTCATTTTCACAGGAACATACTGGTCCTGAACTCAATCAACTGGCCTATAAAGATTCCACTTGACAGATGTGAATGTACCCTCAAACAGCTGCCCACAATTTACATTCCCCAGTTCCTACCCAATATTGCTGTTGTTAGCCTTTCCACAATTTAATACTTTCAATTGAGGACTACTCTTACCCTTATACATAAGTAACTTAAGACTTACAGAAATATGGTCACTGTTCCTGAAATGCTCTCCCACAGCAACTTGATTGCCTGGCTGAGCTCATTCCCCAATACCACATCTAGTATGGTTCCTTTCCGAGTTGGACTTTACATATTGCTTCTGGAAACCCTCCTGGATGCACCCAGTAAATCCTGCCTACCCAAGCCCCTGGCACTAAAGGAGTCCCAGTCAATATAGGGGAAGTTAAAATCATCCACCACAATAACTCTGTGTTTTCACATTTTTCCATGATCTGCCCACTTATCCGTTCCTCTATTTCGTGCTGGCTGTTGGGAAGCCTGTCATGCAATCCCATCCAAGTGATTGCACTCTTCCTACTCCTGAGCTCTACCCATATGGCTTTGTTGGATAAGCCTTCAATGTGTCCTCCCTCAATGGAGCTGTGATATTCTCTCTAACACAACACCCCCATCTCTTTTACTCCCCTCTCCATCAAGCCTGAAACAAATCCCAGAACATTAAACTACTGGTCTTGTCCCTCTCTTAACCAAATGTCTGAATTGCTACAACATCATAGTTATATGCATTAATCCAAGCTCAAGCCTGTCATATACCTCGAGTTAAAACAAATACACTTCAGACCACCAGTCCCAATGTGTTCAATAGTCTCTTCTTCTTAGCCTTAATGGCCTTAGTATCAAACTCCTCCTCAGTTATTTCACTTGCTGAACTACTGCTGTAGTTCCCATCCCCCTACCACACTACTAAAACCCTCCTGAATGGCACTAGCAATCCTCCCTGTAAGGTTTAGGTGCAACCTGCCCTTCATATATAGGTCTCACCCGCTGTGGAAGATATCCCAATGACCCCAGTCAGCCCTCCCTCCTACACCAGCTCTTTAGCCATATACTTAATTGTAATATCTTCCTATTCCTAGTCTCATTGGAACGTGGCACAGGGAGTAATCCCAAAATTACAAACTTTAGAGGTCCTGCTTTTCAACTTACTACCTAATTCTCTGAACTCTCATTGCAGGACCTCATCGCTGTTATTGCCTGTGTTGTTAGCACCAATGTGTACC